CCTTTTTTTTTTTTCCCCCAAAACATAGGACTGAAATTTTTTTTTTTTTTTTTTTTTTTTTTTTTTCTGTCTCTGATTTGTCAACATATACTCTGAACCTCAATTTCATTTTAAAAACACTCTGGCTCAGGTAAATTCAGAAGTTTGCAAATAATCATATGCCAGAAGGCTGGTATGCTGAGCAATTTTCAGTTTGGCCCATAGTTATGAAAGAAAGAAGTGGTTAAGTCTTTGCATCCTAATGGGCCGGCACAACAAAGAAATGGAGCATTTGTTGAGGTTCGGGAGTGCTAGGTGGCAAAGCTGCACTTTGTAGTGTAGCTGCAGGAGAGATGGGCTGCCCAGCATAAAACCAAGGATGAATCCTGTCACCCGGTATCCTATCAGCTGTAACCTGCAGGAAAATAGCTGCAGTTACAAATAACCAAATCACATTTACGGTGATACTGATCCAACACAAAGTGTTGTCAAAATAGCACTATCACTATGCTCAAATACAGTCCCCTTACCAATGCCCTATAGATGACAGAGGCATTAAAACAACATTCTTTGGTGAGAAAAAAATACTCGAGTGAAGCAGAAACTTCCCTTTAGAAGACTGAAACATTTCTGCCTTCTACAACTCCGATCTAACAAGATTAGAAAGTGAAAACATTCAGACTGAACCACCTTGAGAAGATCAATACAGTTAAGCTCTGCACAGATAACAAAGGCAGTTTCTTCACACAGACAGCAAACTGGGTTAGCATCTGCTCCAGACAGCCCTGACCTGTAACTATTGAGCAGGTTGTCCTGCCCCACAGCCCCGCTCCAGCCCTCAGCACAGGGAGGTTCTTACAAAACCACCCCACTGCAGGTGTCAGTGGGACACTGACAAATGGCTTTCTGCTCTGGCAGTAAATTGTTTACTGGCCTCTTAGGTAAATGCAAATTAATTAGTCTAAGTTTCAACAATGTTAGTTCTGGGCAGAATTTACTCCCAAAAATAGAAGACTTGACTACCCGGGCCTCTTAAGCATGGAGTTCTGTGGGCATCAATGGAAACACTCCAGGCAGATGAACTCACCAGTGTTAGTTTATTTTTTAAAAAAAGTTTTAGTTTTGCTGGTTTCAGTGCCCTCTGTAACATCACCCTTAGGATATTTCTGACATATGTCCAAGTGAGAACGACCACAGTTTTGTAGGGAGATATTAAGCCCTAATAGATCAAGTTGTTTAGCTGAAATAAATACAAACAAGCTTCACGTTTGAAAGAGAAGCAGAAAACTTTAAGAGAAGTATGGTGTGAGAATAACTGCTCTGACTGTGCTTTAGACTAATATTACGTCCAAATTGTGAAAGATCAGAGACAGATGAGAAAAGGTTTATTTTTAATATGACAGTGAGGTATCTTCCAGCAATGTAAAAAATTAGCTCTGTATGACATTTTGAACACAGCTGGCTAGAATGCATGAAGAGATCTCAGCCCCCATTGTTGTGCTTTTGTTACAGAAGGGAAAAATAAATACAAATCTGAAGTAGCCCTTTCAGTTTGGTACCTGTCCTGCAAACACCACCTGTGATTAGTTGCCATGGCACTAGCAGGCAGCTGGATATTTGGAGGCACTGTAGTAGCCACTTGGACAAAGGCATTCAATTTTTTTTATGTGTGAAATAATGACTTTTTTCCTCAAAGTCTCCTTCATTTTTAAGGAGATTATCTGCCCCACAGATAATCATGACCATTTGAGCACTGAACCTGGCTTGCAAGTCCTCTCACAGTGACTTTCATCCACACTATTGTGATAAAGTCAAATCAGGAAGAAGAAAACAGCAGCAGCAAATTACTTAGGTGGTGTTGGGTTGACGGCTGGACTTGATGATCCTTGAGGTCTTTTCCAACATTAATGATTCTATGATTCCAGTAGTAACACCAACTAAATTGCTGTGCAGCTTTTATGGCTTGACTAATTGTCTCATTAAGACACATTTCTGATCACTGAAATGGATCTCAAGTATTTTTAATCATTGAAAAAATTGTACCAATAAGAGCCTCTCTCCCTCCTCTCCTCATCACTATTTGCAATGGAAAACACACAAAGGCTCCCATTGATTGGAGCCCCGCTGCTGCACAGTTGGCAGTCAAACACTACTAATGGCACAATAACACAATATAACTAAAATAGTTTGCCTTTTAGAGTAACAATCTCTTATAACATGATTAAGCTCTATCATGTGCATTTCCTTATGTTTTGCAAATGGCTCAAAAAATCTGACAGTTTTTCCAGTAATTTCTTCAAAAGGGGAGGGAAAAAAGGGAAAATTCCTTTGCTCTCAAGGAACAAATTAACAATACTTGATACCCTAAAAAAAGATGAAAACAACTGTACCAAGCAGGGGCTGCACAGCAGCATGGTTGTGCCACACCCAGTTCACTTGCCCTTGCAGAATGTGCACCTCCAAAGACTGAGTTTGTCACATTTAATTGTAGACACTTCACTTAGTTTAGGAGCTGGCTTGCCCTAGGCTACTTCTGTAACTGATGGAGAGAGGCATCTCCACAGAGCAATTCAGATCCCTGCTAAGTATAGACTGTACGATCTCTGGGCTCATAATTTAGGTACTTTTTTGGTGTTTGGTTTCAAACAATATTAAATGAGATGAAGCTCCTTCCTCATATGAGGAGCACATTTCAAAATGAGCAAGCTGGCATTATCCACCACACTACTGACAAGCTCTTTACAGTCTCAGCAAACAGGAAGATTTTGCTCTTGGGCATCACTCCCAGTGGTTGCAAAAGGCATACATTGCAACAAGGCGTCTCCCCATACAAGAGTTGTAGGTGTTTATCCCATGCATTATCATATTAAAGACACATTAAGCAGCCACTTAATTTTCAAGTAGCTTATTCTCAGAAGCCTAATGCAGAAGTGGCACAGCTAGTGCTAGGAGAGATGTACACTTCGTGGTGGCCAGCCTGATAAAAAGAAACCTGCAAAGGCCTAAGACCTCTTTTGTGGAGATAGAGATGATGCATGGGAAGGAAATCACTCCATACAAATACTCAAGAAGAGTTGAAAAGACCAGATTTATTCTCAGATGTGTTTTGCTTGTTTTAAAGTGACCATACAATGGTAATTATCAGCTTCCCATGGCTGCACTTCTGATCATGTACTTGAAAAATAAAGCAACATACAGCTCATATCCGCACAGTTCTCAGAAAATAATTTAAACTTAATTAGAGGAACAAAGTTTAGTTATTTTAATAGTTGTGGTGTTTTTTTAAATAAAAAATATCCATGATTCTATACATAGTTAAATTTCCTTCCTGTTCATTTTGCATATTGGCCATCGAACAACATGATATTAAACACGGCAGCACTAAGAACTTCCATGTCTCATTTCTACTTACTAAGAGAAAGTCTGTGTCAGATTGTCATTGCAGTCTGTAGGAAATCACTTCTCCATCTCCTTCATCTGAAAGGGAGGTAACAGCTTTGTGTCACAGAGATCTTATGTTTCCTAAAACAGTAGACTCTTTCTTTAAATAATAGGTGTTTTTTTAGCTTAAAAGAGAGGAAGCAAAGTGATGCTTCTGTTTTTAACAGTTGCTTTAAACTGTCCAGATTTCTTTTGATTATTTTAAGGTATGGTTGTTTAAAATATTGAAAATATTCCATATCAATGCCCATATGTGCTACGAGTGGAAAACAGCCCAAGAGACTACATGCAGGATTCTTCTGCTCTGTCAAGGCACATATTTACAAGTCTCATTAGCTCAGTATAGGTTCATTCAAGTGAGAGACAAGCAGCATTACTAATTTAAGATGAATTTGAAATGTGGCTGTTTACTTGCTAAAACTTTCAGTTTTGATCAATTTTGTAAGGCAGTTTTAAAAAAAAAAAAAAAAAGCCAAGGTTGTTCTGTACTCACACATAGGCACTATTCAGACACATAAATATTTGCTCACATACACATGTACATGTAAATGCAACCAGGAAGGCATCCACCAAGGTCAAAGTGTAGTCAGAAACATTACAAACTAGTGGTCTCTGTCACAGGCTTTGGAATTAATTCTAGGGAACAGAATATGCTACAGAAATGTCTGTTTACCTCCCTTTGGGCTTTGTTACAGAGACAGGTACCACAAAGTTACAAAGTTCTGCATAAATCTATTGAACTCATGAGCTGTGCAATGCTGCGCTCACTATGAAAAATACAGTTTTACTGATAAGTCTAATGGGGGGCCTGAGGGCTGTGATAAAGTCCTAAGGAAAAAAAAAAAGGAAAGAAAAAAAAATCAAAATTCTTGTAGCACGTCCCTATTTTTTTAACACACATAAATATCAGAAGAGTGATGCTGAAGAGAAGAAAAAATATTATTTTTTTTTTGCT